GAGAAAAATTTTAAACTCAAAAGCATATGGAAGTGATTGTTGATAAATATCAATTAATTTTTAAAAAGTATCTCATAAATCTATGACTTTCTGACTGACTCCCTGAGAGCAGAGGCTTTGGGACCCCTTCAGAGTAGGAGGTCCCTGAGGATAAGGGCTGTACCCCTCAGATGAGTGTCCTTGAGGACAGGGACCACGACATCTTCTCCTCAGACCAGTTTACCTGGGCAATTCTACCAGAATCATAGAACCACAGTCCAGCCAAACTATGCACAAGTTCAAATCACATCATGTTGGAGCTGAAAAGGAGGCAGCTCAGCAATCACTTGGCCCAACCCTGTCATGTTACAGATGGGAAAACTGAGGCCTAGAATGAGAAAGTGACTCAAGGTCATGCATTCAGCAGCAGAGCCAAAAGTAGAAGCCAAGGTTCCTAACCACCCAGTCTGTTTCTCTCTGCTCCAGCAGCAACCAGGGGACCAGAGGGTGATAGATTTAGAGATGGAAGATACCTGAGATGTCATCTTGCCTTTCATTTTACTGATGTCATCACAGGCTTTTCTTTAACAGAAAAGGGGCTCCCACTCTGGATACGAAGAAAGGTTAAAAAAAAACCAAACAATTCCTGTTTTCACAGAACTCAATCCAGTGGTATAGACAACCTACAGACACCTAGGTACAAACAGAACCCATTACAAACATAAATAAACAGAGGGAAGGCACTAGGATTAAGAGAGATCTGGAAAGGTTTCCTGTAGAAGATAGGATGTTAGCTGGGACTTGATGGAAGTGAGAGAAGCAGGAGGGAAAGCATTCCGGGCATGAGGCCAGTGACATTATATACGAATGTGATGGAATACCATCGTTCTACAGGAAATGATGAAGGGGGATGGTGAAACCTGGGAAGACTTGTATGAACTGATGCAAAGTGAAGTGAACTTCAGGGAAACAATTTATATGGTAACAATACTTTGAAAGACTCGGGACTGATCAATACAATGACCAACCACCGTTTGAGAGGACTCATGGTGAAACATGCTCCTGACAGAGAGATGGCGGACTCAAAATGCAAATTAAGCTATATACGTGTGTGGGGGGGGTATCATTAGCTCAGTTTAATATTGGTCATTGCAGGGTGTACATATGTGTGTGGCCAATATGGGAATGTTTGCTTACCTCCACATGTTTGTAATGGGTTTTGTTTTTTTTACTTTCTCAATACAGGCAATGGGGAAGGAAATGGACCTAAAAATAAAACTGAATTTTAAAAATCAAAATTAAAAATATGATATCAAGTTGGAAAGACAATGTGGTGCCAGACTCTAGAAGGCCTTAAGTGCCTAGGAGAGGAATTTGGACTTAATTTCAGAAGTAAAAGGAAACCTTAAATATTTTTGAGTGGCATGTCCATCTCTATACATAGGCACTGAGGACCTCCCCCTGAGCGACTGGAAGTAGCCAATGAAAATTTTTGAGTTCTGCCTCTCCCTCCTCCATTTTGGAGATTTCCAAAGAAGCAGCTCCAAGCAATTTGTATAACCTGGTCCAGCTGGCCTGGAGGAAGGCTGGAAGCCAGTGTGCCTTTCCAAATTCCGAGAGATTCCATGGGAACAGCTGGCATGATCAGGAGGCACACGGTCTAGGCACTGAGGGACAGAGTCTACTAAATACCTAGGGATCCACAATGAGCTGTCTTAAAGTGAAAAACAGAGATTTGTTTCATTCGCCAAAGAAAGAAATGTTCTCACAACCAACCAAAACTTTTGAACAACCAATTGTGTAACCACCAATTAAAAACAACTGAAAGTTTAAATAGGCTGGAAGCCTCGGTGCTCCACGGACACAGAAGAGTTCTAAGCTATTAGCAGATGATGCTCAAGGTCCGATACCCAGAGAAGAGAAAAGTGACAAACTCCATCTGCTGGAGGAGAAATGAACATGAAGAAGAAGCAAAGTAAACCAGAGACAGCACTTGCTGCCAAAAGAATATACATAGAGTATTGGCCGGGAATGGAGGCTAGGAGAAGAAGCAGGAACCAGAGCTAAACTGCTGGTGGAAAGAAATTTCATCATAGAACACTGAAGGAGGGAATGCCAACCTTCTCCTTTGATGACACTTCTAACCTAACCTTCTCCTAACCTGGACAGCCCTAGAAGTCATCCGGTCTGTACAGGGTTCTAAAGGAGGATGGCCCCTCGAAGCCAGGAGGGATCCTCTTGACTCTATGCGAACCCAGAAACAAGCCCTTTAATTGTTCTAAGATGAAATGCTTTATGAGCCCAAGTCATTTTAAATGGAGCTGGTGACTTTCCTTCAGGGAGTACCATAAATTAAAATTCCGAGATCCCACTTGCGTGGGGACAATGGATCAGAAAAGTGAGAGGCTCCAAAGTATACCCAGATTCTTAAGTCATAATAGAGCTAGAGTTGGCATCGGAACATCTAAATGGAGATATCTACTATTTGATTATAAACTCTTTGAATGCAGGAACTGTTGCTTTTCATGTTTGTATGTAAAATTGTCCAGCACACAGTAGGTACTTAATACATGTTTATTGCATTTACTTGAATAGAGGATGGGAATAAGCATTTATATAGCACCTACTACATGCCAGGCACTGTGCTAAGAGCTTCACAAATATCACCTTATTTAATCCTTACAACTGCTCAAGGTAGGTGCTGTTATTATCCCCATTTTAGAGTTGAGAAAACTGAAGCAGAGGTTAAGTGACTTACCCAGGGTCACAGAGCTAGGAAGCGTCTGAGGCCAGATTTGCACTCAGCTCTTCTGGACTCCAGTTTCAGCTCTCTATCCATCATGCCACCTAACTGCCTCTAAGGTGGTTAGAGATGTGGGTCTGGAGTCCCACATTGGTCTTTCAAAGATAAGTGACATTTATGTAGAGAGGGCAACAGCATCACCAACTCTTCCCAACCCGCCTTGGTCCTACCCCTGGGAAGAGGGGAATGATACACACATGGACCAGCATTGCCAATGAAGTAGGAAAAAAATAGAAAGGAATTTTCTAACCTCAAGTCCCGCAATACATTAGAGTCAAGGAATGGCGGCTAAGGTAGTGATGGCCTGTTGTTTCTTGTCCTTGTGGACCAATTCACTTAACATCTGGACCATAGATGTCAATTTCTCTATCTGGAAAATGATGAAGATGAAAATAAGACCAGTTTCGGTTTTTTTTCATTCATTCAGTCATTCGTTGTTTATTAAACCCCTACTGTCCTGGGATAGGACACAACCCCGTACTACCACGGAATTTACAGACAATATGGGGTGGGGGTTCCTCCCAGCTCTGACATTCTTCCATACTTCTGGGACTGGCCTGAGCAGGAAGAGTGGGTAAACCTCTAATTCTCCCACTTTGCAACTTTTGGTAACGGGAAAGAAATCCCAAACTCTTGACTGAAATGTGAGTTTTGGATTCTTTCTGGATTTTAACTGTCTGTGGGCTCCTTAATGAAGAGTAAGAGGTCAGGGAGAGGGAAGGTTAAGTGAAGGCAGGCAGTGAAGAAATGTGACCACTTGTGGTGGGAGATTCCTGGATCTCCCTTAATAGATAGATGCCTTCTGAGATCTTTTCCAAATCTGAAATTGTGGTTTCTGTAAATGTAGATGTGAAATACGGCCTGTCAGACGCAGGAGGGACCTTAGAACACAGAACAAAGAACGTCACAACTGGGAGATCATTATCGTACCCATTTCACAGATGGGGAAACTGAGGCACGCAGCAGTGAGGTGACTTGCCCAGGGTCACACAGCTGGCGAGTGTCTGAAGCCAGTCTAGTCTCTCTGCCTCCAGAACAAGGGCTGGGAGGAGCCTTCCAGAGCACCTAATCTAACCCCTCATTCAACAGATGGGGAAACTGAGGACCCAGCTAAGCTCGTGGACCGAGCTGAAAAGAGGCCGTGGAGGCCAATTCGTTCCTACACCCATTTGACAGATGGGGGAACCGAGGCTCGGGGAGGCTCAGTGCGTCGTCCAGGGCCACACAGCTGATGAGTGTCTGGGGCAGGATCCTATCGTCACAGGAGGCTCAGGGCCTGGATCCGAGTCGCACGCGTCCCCTCATTGCACCCGTTTTACTTGGAAGACAGGAAAGGCGGGGCCACGGGCGGGGCCGGCTTCCGGGACTTCCAAGGCTGCAGCCCAATTCGGTCCCCCGGCGGAAGAGCGTGGTTCGGACCCTTTCTTGCCGGAACCTTTCTGCTCAGGGCTCAGGGCTCTGAGGGGGAAGGTTTTCCTACGGGATTTTTCTCGCACGCGGCCCTTATTTCCCACACTGCCCCGCGCTTCTTCCTTCTTTTTCTCTCTCGCTTTGGCCTCTTCCGGTCGGTGGAGTGCCTGTTAGCGCAGGCTGCGGTGAGAGGCTTTGGGGGTCGCATCCGGCGCCATCCGTGGCCTGGCTGGGACGTGGGGGGACTCGCACATAGTTCCGGGGACAGTGGAAGAATTCTGAGCCGGGGGGGCTGGGGGGAGGCAGGACCCGGGCCGGCGGGCGGGAGGCAGGTCAAGGCTGAGCCCGGGCCTGGTGGGAGAGTCTGGGGAGGCCGGGCCCGGGGTGGCTGAGAGGCCTGGCTGGGGGTTTTCGGATCCAGGTTCCCGGGTGGAGGGCGAGGACTGGAGGGAGGTCGAGGTTCGGGGACCGGGGCATCGAGGAGGGAAGGAGAGGGAGCACAGACGGCTGTGCACCGGGCCGGGTCTGGAGAAACCTCGGGGCCCGCGAAGGGAGTGTCAGGAGTGGGAAGGGATTGGAAGCCCACGCGTGGCACCGCGTCCCCGTCGTCCACGGGGTCCTAGAGCTTCGAGGACCAGGGGTGCAGAGCCCCCCATCCGGGGAACCTAAACCTTCTCTCTGGCTTCCACAACCACTGCTCTGCTCACTCGGCCAATTAAAGCAAACCCAATTTCTCTTTTCTAATACTTGAAGGTTTCTCCAGGCTAGAAACTCTAAGGTCCTTCAATTGATTTTCTTTTTCTATGATAATCTCCAAGTTGCTCCCCACCCCATTTCAGAATAGTTAAGAGGCATCAATGAGAGAAGCTTTAAAGTCCCATAGTAATGTCATTGTGCCTACTTTTATAAGTGAACTGGGGCTTGGCAGTAACCTTCCCAAAGTATGGTACCTAGAATTGATCATGGTACTCCATTAACTTGTTTGACAGCCATGCTCTATAGAACTTGGTATCCAACTGTCCTTCACATGAGCTGTCATTGATTCTTCCTCCCATCTTGGGCTTTTACATTCTTAAAGCCCAAGTTAAAAAATTCGTCTCAACTAAATTTCTTTTATCATATTAGATGTTTGGGGCTTGACTGAAGGGAAGTACTATATCAATCGTTTGCTTTGGCTGCTGTGCGAACAGCAAGAGGCAAAAGACAGTCCTTGTCCTCAAGGAGCTTAAAGTTAGTTGGAGATGACAGGTAGGATAAATAGGAAATCAGTAACAGAGGGAAGGCACTAGAATGAAGAGACATTGGGAAAGGTCTCCTGTAAAAGATGGAATTTCAGTTGGGAAACAGGTTCAAAGCCTGCTTCATAATAAGCTTTTCTAGCTTCATGACCCAGAAAATTTCATTTAACTACCCTGTGAAAATGGGGCTAGGCTTCATGAGATCACACGTTCATGGCAGTATGTTTAGCTCTGGATCCTGCTCCTAAAATCTTTCTCATTTCTCCCCTACAGGTGTAAAGATGGCTAAGTCTAAGAACCATACCACCCATAACCAATGTAAGTTATCCAGGTGTAAATGAGAGGTAGCCTGTGGTGTAACTGGATTGAGTATTAAGACCATTTGCAGGAACTGTGAATTTGGAGACGTTGCTAACCTTCAAAGAACCTTTTTTCTTATCTTTTAAATGGGGATGATAATTGTGCCACTTTACAGAAGTGAGCAAAAATAATTTATCTAAATGTACAATACTGTAGCTGTGGAAGCTTATTATTTATTGTGTTAAATCAAACTGCCTAATTTGGGTTTTTTTTCCCTCTTGTCTATAGCACGAAAATGGCACAGAAATGGCATCAAGAAACCTAGGTCACAGAGATACGAGTCTCTGAAAGGGGTGAGTATGCATATATTCTGTGAATACGGTTCATTGATGAAAGATTTGGGTTACTGGTTTGATTCTTTAAATGGTCAATTTTGTTACATTGCTTTATGCCCACAGGCCACCTGACCCCTGGCCATCTCACCTTCAAAATATGGGGAAGCTGCTACTCTCTGTGTCAGCCTTGGCATAAGAGAGGCTTCTCTAGAAAAGTTATATAGGAGTTTAGAACCATACTGTGATACGTTGGCAAGAGTGTTAGCTCTGGAGGCAAGGACGTGGATTCAAAGCCTGGCTCTGTGATTTGGTGCCTGTGACCTTGGGCAGGTTAACTTTTCTGGACCCAAGTGTCCTTACCTATAAGATGCAGGAGTTAATCTAGATGACCTCTAAATTTTCTCTAGCTATAATCTAACACTGGCCTGTCAGTAGGAAAGGAACACCTGCCAGCCCTAAAAGAATTTATAGTCAGTCTACTTAAGGAGAGAAGACAAGATGTACACAGCACTGTAGGTCAAAGTACAAAGTGAGCAATGTTGGCAGACTTTCTCATCTCCATGTCTTCGTGCAGACTTCATCTTTTTATCTGAGGTTCTTGGCACGGTGTTCTACTTGACAAAAGTTTAAATTTAATAGATGACATTACTTCTAGTTGTGCCCAGAGTATGGTTAGATGTGTAACCCAGGTGTGCTACTGTTGGAGCCAGAGACCACCCAACTTAGCTTGTTAATAATTAGATTAGGTCGCATGAGCTACATTTAGTCCTGGATTTGAACAGTTGGTATTAATCCTTTCACCAGTCATCAATCATTATGCTCATTGTGTTCAGTGATTTGAGCTGGTAAGGGGGACATATATTCACAAGATCTGACCCATGCCCTCAGAATTCCTAAAGTCCAGTAGGAGTTAAAAATCATGTACTCATATAATTATGTAGGTATGCAGTATTCAAGTGAACTGTCTTAACAGTTTCTCCAAAAGTAATTTTTAATTTCTTGATGATTGTGTACTTTAACAAATGATTTACCTACTGCAGGTCTGTGTAAAGGCCGAACTTTGTTGCCACCTTTGGGTACCAGTCACTTAGCTAAACTTAGTCCCTGATTTGTTTTATTTTTAATTTTCCATTCCAAATTCTTTACCCCAACCCATTGAGCATGCAAGAAATATGTTACCCATTATATATGTGAAGTCATGCAAAGCATTTCTGTGCTAGCCATTTCTGGAAGAAAAATAAAGGAAAAAATATATTTCATTCTGCCCTCTTGTGTCCACCAGTTCCCTTATCTGAAGGTGGATAGAATTTTTCATTTTGAGTCTTTTGGGGTTGTGGTGGGTCATTGTATTGATCAGAGTTACTAAGACACAGATTACAGTATTACTGCTACTATGTCATATGTTTTCCTGGTTATACTCACTTCACTTTGCATCAGTTCATAGAAGTCTTTCCGGGTTTTCTGGAAACCATCACTTTTGTCATTTCTCATAACACAATAGTATTCCTTCACAGTCATATAACATAACTTGTTCAGTCATTGCCCAGTTGATGGGTATTTCCTCAGTTTCTAATTCTTGCCGCCACAAGTAGAACTAGTATAAATGTTTTCTAGTGTACATGTGGGTCCCTTTCTTTTTTCTTTGATCTCTTTGGGGTACAAACCTAGTAGACGATTGCTGGGTCAAAACATGCCATTTTATGGCCTTTTTGGCATGATTCCAAATTGTTTTCTAGAAGGGTTGGACTAATTGCCACAATCAAAATTATCCATTTTGCCTCCCGTGAACCTCTGTCTCTTATTTGGTCATATACTCTTTCCCTATCCATAGATCTGATAAGTTTTTTTTTTCCCCCATACTTCCTAATTTGCTTATGATATCGCTTTCTATAATTATATCATGTACCCATTTTGAGCTTATCTTGGTATTGGTGTGAGATGTTGGTCTATGCCTAGTTTTGGCCAGACTACTTTCCAGTTTCCCAGCAGTTTTTGTCAACTATAGTGAGTTCTTGCCCCAGTATCGGGGATCTTTGGGCTTATTGAACATTAGATTACTGCACTTGTTTGTTTTCTTTGTACCTAATCTGTTCCATTGATCAGCCATTCTATTTCTTATCCAGTACAAAATTATTTTGATGATTACTGCTTTGTTTTGAGATGTGGCACTGCTAGGCCCTTGGGAAACAGTTTTTAAAAATATGCCCTTGCAGATTTGGCAATTAGTATTTCATGTGGCTCTGGAATCCATGATGGTTAGTTGTAGAGTAGACCTTAAAAATTATGTAGTCCAAGAATATTCAGGTTTTTATTAGTAAGCCATGTGATGAGAGTCTGTGTGTTTGAACCAAATGAATCTAAAGATTACATTCTGCTTCAATTAAAATGACTAAGTAATTAAAGCCGACTAGCATGGCACCTGATAGTCTCTTATACTGCCTTAGTAGTCAGTGGGCAGGTGCTTAGACCATTCACTAATTTATGAGCTAATTAGGTTAAAAATACTTAGGTAGGCC